CCACTGACAAGGGGAAACCACGTCGGAAAAGCCCGATGAACTTCTTCGGCCAATGCAGTGATCGAACACCCGACCTCCAGGCTAGCGAGCCAGCGTCTTAACCAACTAGCCACCGTGGCTCCTTGTCATCAAACATTTCCAGTTTCTTTTGTTTTTGCAAACACCACCTACCTCTAATGATGCCCCTAATATAACTTCTCTTACAGATAATCTAATAACACAGTATTTTAATATATCAATCATTCATTTTATTTTTTTTTTATTAGATATGAAATATATTATGTGTATCGAAAAGTCCATAAATCTATAGAACCTGTTGTTGTATAGGATAACTTTATTTATTATAACTGTATATGTGTTGACTTTCATTGAGTAATTTAAATTTAATTTACATAAATCTATACGATCTACTGTATATAAGCTACAGTAGAATCTGTATGAGCAGCCACTCCTATTCCCCCCGTAAAAATTCTGTTGTTTCATCTCTTTATTCAACGGTCACTCCTCTAAAGCGGCCAGCGGTCACTATTTTACTAATAAACTCAACAAAACATCGCCCATTCAACGGCCATTGTTGATAGATGATATCATCTTTTTGTCGTTCTTTGTAAAAACCCCGCGAATCCCGTGAGTAGTAGTTACAATTATGAAATATTATCTTTCTAAAGTTACATTTCAAATAATTGTATTGATATTTTAAAACTGAATTTAGATAAGCATATCTTATCAAATCTACCTATATTTACAAATATTTTTAACTGCTTGGAATGACTAAAATAATGACAAGAGACCAGATCCTATGAACTTTAATGATATTTCAATTCAACCTTTATTTAATAATAACTTAATAAAACATAATGGACGAACTTTGTATTTAAATTATTTCAGTCATCTGGTATTAATTATGTGTATGATATTATGTTAAACCCGGTTTTATTCCAAACCATTCTATTCTGGATATTATTCAAGATACCAATGATAATTTAGATAAAGATAAACTTTTAAAGAATTATGAGATAATAAAATCCTAAATTCCTGAAAACAGGATTGAAAATCATTTGTATGATAATACTTGTAGTACCAGCGATGAAATTGTTTTTAAAATTAATGATATATTACTTAAATCAAAAGATATTTCTTCTAAATATTGTTATAAAGTATTAATTAAGAATATTGGTTCTGACCCCACGTCTTATTATTTTTGGCAGATGAATGATATAAATGTTATTTGTCCTCTTGTATGGAAAAATCTTTTTTTATCTAGTATTGATCTAGATTTTAAAATATCGCATAATATAATATGGACTATGGATAAATTGTATAAAGTCAATATTATTGATTCTAAGGTAAGTCCTGTATGTAAAATAGATATTGAACATATTATTCATATGTTTTTAGAACGTAATTGCCTTGCAAATAATCGATATATCAAATTCCCCAATGAATAGTGATGTCTTTAAAACAAGTTTACTATTAGGTTTCCAATCTACTTCTAATAACAACAGTCATATGGAACTTTGCAATGTTGTTTTATCCTCCGCCAGGCAAGCTATTTATAAGCGCCGCATGTTTAAGTTAGATAAAGAAAATTGTAGATTAAATATTATTAACTTGTTTAAATAGAATTTATAGAACATTAGTATATTTTTTAAAGAATAATAAGTCAAATTTTATTGATAAGTCCATTAAGCCGTCATTCCTTATAATATATGAAGATAATGGAAATATTAAATTAGATTTTTGAAAGAGTTTGTATATACCACCGACCTTTTTTTGTAAATTACCCCTTTTAATTACTTTAAATGTAAACACTGTAAATATTTATACTGTATATAGCTATAAACCCCACGGGGATCACGATGACTAAGTGGGTAAGACACTGGTTCGTGTCCCTAGAGGTCGGGTGTTCGATCCCTGCATTGTCCGAGAAAGTTCATACAATTTTTCCGGCGTGGTTCTCCCTTGTTAGTGATGAAAGACGGAGGGTCCTACAAGAACAGCTGTCTAGTCGTTCGGATGGGACGAAAAACCGAGGTGCCGTGTACATATTAGCGTGCACGTAAAAGATCATTTGACAGTTGGGATTAGATATAAGAGTAGGCCGTAGTGCCACTGTCCGGGCAAAATTTCCCCCATTGCACATTGTATGGGGTATGCCCGTTTTCATTAGCCCAGTTCGGAGCAGAACAGTAGGATGTTAAACCCCATTCCATTTCATTTCCTATAAACCCCACAAAAATATGTTTTTAAACCTTACCTATTAACTCTTTCATATGAAAAAGTGTAAATATGTTTAGTATATTTTTTTATGTTTAGTATATTATTTTTATTCATGTGTGACATGTCTGTATATATTTTAATATCTGAATAAACAGGAATAAGAGAAAAAAAAGGCGCTGGCTTGCTAGCCTGGAGGTCGGGTGTTTCATCCCTGTATTGGCTGAGAATGTTCATCCAGATTTTCCGACGTGGTTCCCCTTTGTCAGTGATGCAGGACGGAGGGCCTGACAAGGACAGCTGTCTAGTCCTTCGGATGAGACGAAAAACTGAGGTCCCGTGTATACATTGGAATGCACGTAAAAGATCCCTTGGCAGTTGGAATTCGATATAAGAGTAGACGATAGCGCCGCTGCCCGGGCAAAATTTCCCTCATAGCACACTGTATGGTTTATGCCCGTCTTCATTAGCCCAGTATAGGAGCAGAACAGTGGGACGTTAAACCCCATTTCATTTCATTTGCTTTTACTCCCATGTTCAACTTCACAATTGTCAGTATAAATATAGCATTTATTTGACAATTATCACAATTTTCATCTGGCCTTAAAACATTTTGCTTGGATTTGTGTTCCTGGTGTAGCGGAACTGTGTTTCTAAGCAAGTTAAAAATTTTGGCTGCAGGCCTACTAGACTATATGACTCTGAAAACCTTATACAGCATGGGGGGTTGGATGGCTGAATGGTTAGCACGTGCGCGCTGTATCATAAGGTCTGTCAGTGAGGTCTTGCGTGGTTTCGATTCCCCGGTTGTACGTGACAAGGAGTAGTGTCGCCTGTCCAACCTCGTGGGTTTTCTCCGGGTCCTCCGGTTTCCTCCCATGTCTAAAGTCCCCTACGCGCAAGCGAATTATTGAAATAAAATTGAACCATGTGTTAGTCCCGAAATGACCTAGTTTGTGTCGAGTGGACGTTAAACCCCATCTCTCTCTCTCTCTCTCTCTCTCTCTTATACAACATATATTATAAGCTATATAAAACAGAAAATTGACGATTTTCTAAAAAAAATCATTCATTTTACGGAAATTCTGGCCGTCATTTCAAATTTTCGCCATCTTGGATTTTTCAAACTTTTTGTTTAGATTAAAATACATTATGCAAGAGCTAAATCTGTCTATGGTTGGAATTATTGCACACGTCTTGCCCAACCTTCAAAGGTTAATATATTCGCTCGCAATAGAGTAATTTGAATTAAATTTTTCAAATTATTCATTTTGTATTATCTATTTTCGAACTATTGTAGTAAGAATGGCTAGCTCTGTATCTAAATCTTACATAATGTATCTCTGATTGTAAGTTCAGCAACACCGAGCACCCTTTCAATTGGATAGCTCATGTCATATCAAACAATGAAATGACTATTATCTGACAAATTGGCCATTTCAGGAAATTTGGTCGCCATTTTGAATTTCCGCCATCTTGGAGTTGGGACACTCATATTAGAGATTTTTTTTTTAGGATCAATGTTTCTGATATCTATAAAATCACTTTAGTTGACCAAATAGATAATTTGGCTTATATGGATCTGAACACGATTTGTTATTAAACTTATGAACGGACATGAAAAAAAAATCGAAAATGTTGCATTTTTCAGATTAATCTTTTTTCTTTTTTTTTTTAAAAATTGATAATATTGATTAAACAACATATATCATATACCAGCAGATGCAGAATTATATTATGAACCTTTTGAGCTATATTACATATCCATAGGTGAAACGTTTGAGGATTTGTGAAGGCTTCCCCGACTCGCACTATTTCAAATAAAAAAAACAAACGACGGCCATTTTTTAAGATGGCCGCCAAACTGACATTTGGCAACCGGTATAATACTGATAAAGCGAACCATTGAAATAAAATTTAACCATATGTTAATCTAGAAATGGCGATTCGGGAAGTAGATATAACATGCATATATTAAAGATAGGTTCCCAGAAAAGTATTTATCGGGTGGTTATTTCCAATAAAAGTATGGCAATTTTGGTATATATGGAAAGTAGAGATATCCAATCTTACTAGAAAAATACTGGATTCCCTGAAAACCACTCATAGAGAGTATACAGGACAAAAATGTAAGGGTTCCCCTAATCGACAGCCCGACGATTAGGAATGTCTGCACGCGTGACGTCGAAGGTTGCACGCGAAGACTGGGTGCTTGGTGTACATGTTGATAAAATTATGAAGAGTTAGACGTACAACACTTTCTGGGATAAAAATCAAAGAAAAAGACGCGGGAAGTGGATAATCCGAAAATTTATTTAGGATTCGATATTTGTAATAAATAGTCAGCGATTAAAGACAACATCGTCTTGTGTATGCAATGAATTCTCCTCCGACCTCGCAAGGGTTGCTAAAGGTACCGAGAGAGGTAAGTCACGTGACACAAACATGGTCGATTTTTATAGCGGGGGATTCCTTGTCAGTTACAATGTTTTGAGAAGAATTTGAAGCAAAATTATGATAAATTAATTAGTTTGAATATATATAAATTGTCTGATGATCAAATAGAAATATAAAAGTCATTCACATTCCAACAACATGAGTACAGAGATTTTATCATTGTTTCTATGACAGGTCTAAGCTCCTCCTTTTCTCACTTTTACTATATGCGAGGGCGGAGCGAAAAAACATCGCGACAGATGGCCATAATCTCGCCCCGTCACGTCACTTTGCTCACGGTAAAGAAACGCCTTGTTAGTTTATTAAAATAAATTGTGAAATTTTCTCTATATATCTAGACTATAGATTTTTACAATGATCTAATATCTGTGTCAGTGTCAGTGCAATCTATCAGGGTGTAATAGTTGATGGATCGCAACGCGTACAGGAGCTAAGACATGTGTATCGTATAAACAAAAAGAAGCAGGAGACCGACCTATTCCACATCCAGCATGCTACAGGTATGAAATGAAATTTTCTGGGAATTATCTTTGACAACACATGATATTTAGTGAATACTATTAAGATCCACGGTGGTCCAGTGGGTGGGACGGTGGCTCACCCTGTAACACTACCACTGCCATATATGTTTTGGCCTGGTCATCAAGGGATTGATTTGACTGTGGACTGGCTACTGTTGTATCTCTATCCGTAAGGACTTCACCGTGGTGTTTTCTCACGTAACTGAAATCAAATATGTAACAGGAACTACAATAGTTTTTTGCTATATGTTTTTATATCACATCAGGTAAACAATAGTCTACATTACAATATTTAAACTTAACATGTCTTCTCTCAACTACACTCCTGTAAAAGTCTAACCAACGTGGCCAGACTCAGGAAACCATTACATCATAAATTGATCGTCAAAAGAACCCAATGCGTGTCTACGTATGTCGCCCAAATCCAGTTCCTTATATCTAGATTTCCGCTACCAATTATTCAACTGGCAAAATATTGCCAGGGCCGGCGGAAGCAATTCTTGATTAGGGGAAGGGGGCTACCATCCCAGGACTTTAGGAGATGGTCCAGGGGCTTACTGGGCCCCGGAAGCTCCTGTGGATCTAGAGACGCTTTTTGGCGAATGAAATTACTCAGTAATGAAGTGAAATTTTATTTCTTTTATAAATCCATTATCATGCAAGCTCATTCGAGGGTGATTTCCTGCGACACTGAACTTGACAAATATATGCATAATATTTCCAAGGTTGTGGACACTCTAGAGGTAAACTGACAGTGTATGTTTATAGCCGAAAGATCTCGACATTTTTAGCTTGTGAACCCTCTAGACCTCATAGTCTTTTTATTTGATTTTCAAAACCGTTCAAATATATCACCGAGGCACCATAATTACGATTTAATTCAAATTTCGTGACAATCGGAACGAAACTGCCCGAGTAAATGGCCGTTACCCTTAAAGGTATGCAATACCCAAGTTGTGGGTCAGAGGTTCGAATTTACATCCAATTTCGATATATTCTAAAGGCCTGGGTTCCTTTCGATATTGGCACGTATTGGACCGTAGCTTTCTGGATTATGAGCCCTAACTTACGAAATATATTATTTTTAGCATGTGTACCCTCTAGAGGTCCCCATTGTTATCTTATTTTCAAGACTGTTCAAATGAATCACTATTACATCATAATCGGACAGAAACTTTCAGTCAAATGTCTCCATTACACAAATAGTATAAAAACATGTAATACCAAGGTTGTGGACCATCTAGAGGTCAAAGGTTTTATCCGATTTAGATGAACTTAAAACGAGTATAACTATAGCTCTTGGATGAGTTTAATTTTGGTGCGTATTGGTCTCCTGCCTTTTACGCAAAATGTGAAATATAAATGAAGTTTGTGGACCTTCTCGAGGCTACAATTATTGTGCGATTCATGAGATGAAACTTAAACTATGTGTTAAATTGATTATCCCGATTTGAACAGAGCCTCAAAAATAAAAGTCCGAGTACGTATGCAATTTAAGCGCCAAAATATAGATGAATGGTGTATTTACCATGGCTCAAAATATTGAGTCGTTTGGACGTGAAAGCCAAAACTCCTTATCCAGACACGTGTCACAAAGTGACCTCAGGTTCTTTAACTTAATTGCCCCCTTTTCCAAATTTCCAACAAACACAACTAATTAATTTATTTTAAATATGTATATTGTACAATCAATTTACATATACAATTTAAGAGGTTTTTACAAAATTAAATGCTTTAAAGTTACAGTTCATTCCGGCATTTAGTACTCTGTTGCTTTAATTCAATCAATCCTCCTGATTAGCATTCAGATTAATTCTCCGTCTTAATTCCACCATCCCAATCGCGTAAGTTGGTTTTTTAAAACATTTTAAACCCGAACACAAATTCTTGGAAAACACAAAACCTTCACATGTCACAGATCTATTTCCCGGATTCACCTAGACTCCCTAATTGTATTAAAACTTCACCAAGATTGAAATGTACTTCACCTAGACTACATGCGTACGATTCACAAAGTTCAGCAAGATTAAACTACAGTATGACCTCTCTGACCAACTTTTCTAATTCCTCCACCAAGAAACTTTTAGTCACTCAAACATCCAATCAGAACTATGCACCACCTGCACATGCATCACAATCCAGACACATTCATTAATTTACACCCTCCTTACCTAACTTGCTCAGACATACCAACAATCGTTCTGTAAAAACAACGCATATACATTGAAAATAATTAAACTTTATTAACCAAAACCTGTACAACCCTTAATAAATGTCTTTAAAAGAAATAAATATTCCCTTTAGCCCTGTACCAAATTAATTAGGTACCCTAAATCACAGAAATAAACCATGTCACAATTATACATAGCAAATTAACATACCAATTGTGACATTACCCCCCACCCCAAGGGTAAACTTAAGAGAAATAGTTTATCCGACTAACTAATTAACTAACTAACTAACTGAATGATCGACTCAAATAATCTGCCCCAATATTGTCTCTACCCTTTATTGCCCTGACAATAAATGAAAAATTCTGTATACTTAATGCCCATCTCATAATTCTACTGTTAGCAATTTTGGCCTTGTGTAAATACTGTAACGGTTCATGATCAGTTTCAACCAAAAATTCAACACCATATAGGTATTCCTCAAATCTTTTAATAGCCCAAACTAAGGCTAAGCATTCTTTTTCGATAATAGCATACCTTGTTTCACGCGGTAAAAGTTTCTTACGGTCATAAGCCAATGGAAACTTGCCATCCTCGAATTCCTGTAAAAGAATAGCCCCTAAACCTGTTCCACTAGCATCAGTTCTTAATATAAATGTTTTAGTAAAATCTGGCAAACGCAGCACTGGTGAATTTGACAAAACCTGTTTTAGAAAAATAAAAGCATTATTTTGAGCATTTCCCCATTCTAGTTTATTTGGTTTTCCCTTTCTAGTTAAATCTGTAAGTGGAACTGCTACCGCTGAAAAGTTAGGTACAAATTGTCGATAATATCCCACTAACCCTAAAAATGATTGTAATTGTTTTTTCGTTTTCGGAGGTTCTGTCTGTTTGATGCTTTCAATTTTACTCTCCATGGGACGAATCACTCTTTGACCTACAAAATGTCCTAATTAATTTAACTTTGAAAACCCGATTGAACATTTGCTGGGACGTGCAGTCAAATTAGCAGGCCGTAATCGTTCAAATAAAGATCGAAGTATCTGTAGATGATCTGACCAAGTCTCTGAAAAAACTAAAATATCGTCTAAATAGTTATCAGTTCCATCCAAGTGATACAAGAGTTTCCTCATAATTTTACTAAATGTCGCTGGTGCTGTTACACAGCCAAACGGCATGTTTCTAAACTGCATCAAACCTAAAGGGGTTACAAAAGCTGTCTTTGACCTAGAACTCTCTTCTAGGGGTATCTGCCAGTAGCCCTTTGTTAAATCTATTTTTGAAAGGTAGTTACTTTTTGCAATCCTAGCAAAGATATGATCATGTCTAGGCATAGGCTCAGCATCAAATTCTGTTATACGATTGAGTGCTCTAAAATCAATACAAAATATATTAGAACCATCAGGTTTTTCAACAATGACAATAGGAGAACTATACGGAGATGTCGTAGGGGTCAATAATACCTAAATGTAACATATTCTCAACTTCTTTAACTTGTGTTAAAATTTATCAAACAACACAAACTTGTGTTGAAACTTGTGTGAAAATCTACACAATACTTGTGTTGAAATTTTTGAAACTTGTGTTGAAATTTTTGAAACTTGTGTTGAAATTTTTGAAACTTGTTTTGAAATTTCTGAAACTTGTGTTGAAAGTTCTGAAACTTATGTTAAAATTTCTGAAACTTGTGTTGAAATTTCTGAAACTTGTGTGGTTTCATACAAACTTGTGTATAACCATCCACAAAAACTTGTGTTGTGTTTTTCCCCAATTTATATACAGTATAGCAACCTTTTTATGCAGGACCCATCTCTTTGCTCTGTTAGACCTGTAAAGTTTGATAAAAGAAGGAAACAAAATTTGTTTTTGTTTTTGTAAGATTATTATTTATTCATAAAATCATAGGAAAAAGTAAATTAATACATCAAAACTAAATAGATATTTGAAATGTTAACAGAAAAACAGAGAATTCTAATACTAATTATACTGTGTTATATATAATGACCCCCCCCCCCACACACACACACACACACATACATGTAAATGGTGTCAATCGAGGACTTTGAATGGATCCTCCTAATCGAGGTCTTGATAAATATTGCATGAACTCTATTACATCAAACGATTATGAAAAGATATAAATCATACCTCAATTTATATATTTTCTGCATTTGACTTTTTACGGAAGAAATGCGGACACACTGGAGTTTGCAAATAATTGGGGAAATACGACCAGCCGAGTCCCTATGCTAGTTACGCCTAATCGAAGACACGCATAGTGTAAGTATGGGAACGCCGCCAAACGAGGTCATTTGCTCTATACAATCAAACTGTGGACTTGACACTTACTACGTTTTTGTCCCCAACCCCACAACCCTTGGACCACACATGGGAAAAATACAATATAACTGTTTAAAATTGATGTGTGGCACAATATCGCGATAGAACAGTTATTAATGTGATCAACCGAGGACGCATATTATGTTTTAATACCGACAAATGGGGACTTTGTGTATGGTGAACACCAAAAACCGACTACACACACTCACAAGTGTATATCAATAATATAAATTGAGTGGGTTCAACACTCTATATCCGAGAACAGACCCCCTTTGACAAAGGAGCAGCCCACTGAAAGATTCGGCCAACTTTTAATTTTCTAAACCAATCTGACTGAGGAAGTACAGACGATATGTGAACAATCGAGGACTTGTGGACTTGACCCTCATTGTGGTCTTTAACCTGTAAATAACTACGTTTTTGTCCCCCCCCACCCTTGACCACACATGGGAAGAACGACAATGTAAC